TACATGCACACATTTAGCTCAATTTGTTGTGTCACTACTTCCTTATTTTACAGCAGTAAAAAGCAGTAAGAAGTTGGCACTGTCCTGGTAGAAATATCGTTTATATGGCTTTTATATGGTTGAATTTTGAAGTCTTTTTTATCTATAGACATCTTTGGTCCAACATGCTAATAGACAGCTAAAACGAAAAGTATCACCTTGTTTTTTGGCAAGAAAAAGGTTTTGTTAATGTCTAATGCTGCGGGAAACAGTAATTAAGTCTTCCCCAAAGGATGGGGAAATTGACGTGCTCTGGAGAGCGGATGAGTAATTATATTTATAAAGAGCAGTGATACCAGATACTCCCCTCTGTCTGGAACTCATTACACATCATTAAAGAGACACGGTTTCAGCGACGGTGCATCACTTTCACTGTTTCACCACATGCTAATCAATAGCTGAAGTAAACAGATCTCCTGTTTGGGTACATGCTTGGCTCCCAGCAACCCCTTTTCCATTCCCACTGTCCTTTGTGGCTAAAGGGAACAGACAGCCAACCCAGACCAGCACCCTTGGAATTATGAGGTTTAAAAAAACAAACAAAAACCTTTTCTCAGATTAAATGTATTGCAGTTTCATACCTTTGTTGAATATAGGAATTACATTTATGAAAATACTTAAATTTGTACTTTCAGATACCAATTTATAATCAGTTAACATTTAATCAATTAAATGCTCCTTTTGGTGTTTTATTAGCTAATTAAAAATATTTAATATCACTATAATGCGGAATTCAGTCCCGGGCTGGAATGTTTCTACATTCTCGTTCGTAATATTTGACATTAAACCTGTATAGTATACCAATTTGGCAATCCTGGAAGTCATGCTTTTATTAGCAAGAAATAAGCTAACTAAGTGTTAATCCCTTTAGATTTAGATCTGTGTTTAGGTCATTTTCAGCGATATGTTAATTCACTGATCTCCGGTACATGCCTAATTGTTAGAAAATTAATAACCAACATAACGCAAGGGGACAAGAGAATTTGGGTAAGCATTATCGTGATGTACAGTGTTGGTTACTTAGCACCTGGATTCAAGCCATTTTTACAGAGCGATGTTAGATTCTTTGTTTAGGAAAGTCAGCCACCCTAGAGGACCCAAAACCCCTGTCAAGGTAGGGAAATGCAGCAGAACAGGATAAAAGTGCTCCAACACCTCAGTGGTCCGTGGAGACGAAGAGACCGAGTGCAGGATAAACAGTAGGGAAGGAACTCAGTAGAGAGTTCCCTAGCTGTATATTAACACTGCTGTAAAATGGAAATCCAGAAACTCATCCCACTTTCAATTTAAAATTTAATTTACTTTCTTTTTTTAGGCACAAATTCTAACCTCATTTACCAAGCCGTTTTCCCCCACGTAATTCTCTCTTCTCTCTATATACATTAAACCTTTTTTTTTAACCATTTAGCTTCCATAAGCAAATGTTAAATCGATTTAAATATTCCCTGTGTGAAATTATTTGTTCATAGCAGATAGATGTTTTGGCTCAAACACTTGTTCACAACATCGCCTGGTGTTTATTGGTACTTTATGCAATTTATGTGAAGCTTTCCCATTTTCAGAGTCTGTCACAACCATAATTCCCTTGCCCATTTTTATTTCATATTAGTTATCTACTCTAATTCAGTAGGGCCGGGCTATTTCTCACCATTCTTTTTAGCTTCTTAATTAAATGATCTCTCCTTTTCCATTAGGTTTTTTTTTTTTTTGGTCTGGTATTGTTCTGCTCCAAATTGAAATCAAATTTCTAACAATGTCATTGAGAAAATTCTAATTAACAAGGTCTAGAAAAATCCTGGAGGGTAAAGTGTCAGACGTTTTAGAAGAGGATTTCTTTCCAGAAGGTTACTTTTTGCTTTCTTCTTGTGTCAGCCTCCATTCTTCTCTTTCTACGAACTGGTCCACTAGCAGAAGACCATATTATCCGTACGGAAACATTAGGAGACTGAGAACAGTTTGTGCACAACAGGAATTGGCACTCCATTGTGTTTTCTAAAGACCAAGGAAGAAGAAACAACAGGATCTGATTTGGATGCAGTGTCTGTTTTCAAACACAAAACCTTACAATGCATTTCTGCACAATGCAGCAAACTCACCCAAAGCTGTTATCACCCTCATTTTAAAATATTATGCTTCTGTATGAAAGACACATGATCTGTACTAGATCAAACATTATTTGAGCTACTCTCATTGAGAACCAAATCTGGAAGTGTTTGATTTTATTAGCCGGTCTAATGAAAAGTGCAACTACAGTAGTCTTACCCTACACCAGCTAAAGGTGGCTGGTGGATTCCAAGAATATACCAGGGGGATCTGTACACTTCTACTGACAGAGAGAAGCTAGGAAGTAATGGGTGCTCTGTACAAGTGTTAATGCAGTTTGGTACGGTGTCAGAAACACATTATCCCTGTTTCACTCCCATCAGATGGACGCCCAGCATGCCAGAGTGGGGAAAGTGTGAAAGGATGGTATTTGCCTAGTTAAGCTCACCAGGGATACCGTCCACCTACACAAAGCCAGGAGGCCACACACAGAAACTGGCAGCCACTGAGTGGACTTCATAAGCATCACAGTTCTTCACACACAGAGCGGAGAGTGGCAGGGTGCTGAATTTTGTTTAGATCTCAGGCATTTGCACTTTGTGTGGGCAGAATTTGAGCTGACAGGGTCAAGTGCTCTGAATAAATATGTGCACAAAATAGAAGTGTTTTAAAGGATTATTTAAATGTTTTTTTTTTTGCACTTCAGGATGCTCATAGGAGGGGAAAGCAGAGCAATAATCACATTTTCCTCATCAATTTTAGCAATATTGTATCACTTACTTGTACCTCGGTGGCTTTGTTTTCTGCCTTTTATCGACCAGCAGAATGGGACATCACAACTTTCAGTTGGAAACGCAAATTGTCAAAACCAAACACATGTCAGTCACAGATATTTAATATTTCCAGCTATGAGGGAGGGGTTATCATCTAAGATTCTGTACAATTCTCAGACGAAAAGAGGACAACACTGATGAATGTGTCTCACTGAATTGACCTGTAATGTTCTGACTAGGTCTCACGCCGATAAATATACTGTATACAAAAGTATTCAGTCCTTTCTTAGATTTTTCCCATTCTGTGCAATTACAAATTGATGCATGCATATTTTAAACTGCTGTTTTATTCTCTGATATGATTTGCACCCTTCTCCAGATCTGTGCTTTTCGATGAGTTTACCCCTGATATGAACCCCTTAGTCTACATGGCTGAGTCTTTACTTGGAATTCACTACCTCACCGAGCTAGATATGTTTATTCTGAAATCACAAGAACCACTATTAATGCACAAAGACAAAGGCAAATCAGCTTATTGTGTGGCCCATGAAAGCAATCTTGTACACCTACATTAAAAGGGGTCTTCCACGACCAATGTTTGAATATTTACGCAATCATGTCTTTTCTGTAGTATTATTATTATTTTTTGCTTTGAATACAACCTGGAGCAGGTTGTGTATATATCAAATATCAAATTGTCATGTCTGCCATCATTAACACAACAAAATGTGAAAGCTATATAAGGGTCTGACTGCAACTATGCAAGGTGCTGTATCACCCCTGTCTCAAAATCCCTGATTGGCTTCCCACTGAATTTCACAGACTTTAATTACTGCACCTGACTTTTAAGGCCACAAGGCCTTGTAAGGCTCATCCTCACAATAATGACCTGATAAATCACACACTTAGCCACTGCGATTCTTTGATGCTCATCTTGTTTGTACTCTCAACAGTCGTAAGAACTGTGGGCCTTGTTAAGAACTTGAACTCCTGTAGTTCCTCTATTTTATATTCATCTCATTTGTAATGAAGGTTACAAATGAGAGGAACCATTGCACCTTGTACCAGACTCCCTCAACCTTCTGTGACATAAAGGACCTCCTGATATTTGAATGGCATTTTCCTGTAATTCATACATAGAAAACATTGCCTGATTCTTTCATTTATATTTAAAGCTATTTTACTGTCCACTGCTGTTTGGATGAAAAGAGCTTTCTTAAATTATGTTTTTATTATCATGTGGAAGTTAAAAGCATGCTTTACCTTTGGGCTAACATCTAGGCTGTGTCCAGCTCGGATTCCATGTGCTGCTACAGCTATCATGAGATCACACTTGAGAAGCAAGCTGAAGATCCATTCCAGTCAGTCAGCACGGCTCTTTCTCTCCCTCAGTGTCCCTTCTCCCTCATCTCTCTACCTCCCAAACAGGAGGATTCCTGCTTTCTTCCTTACCTCTCCAATCCTCACCCACCACCCTCCACTCCTGGTTTCTTCAGGTCTCTGCACAATTGCTGCAGCATGTAGCTGGGTTTTTTTAGGCGATCTAGTGTACCTTTCTCAACAAATCGTTTACTAAACCAGGTGTCAGAAAAGAATACATTCCCAAAATGACATGCAGTTTGAAAATGAAAAGTTCATCTCACACGCATAGAAAAAGAGACCAAATAAAAATAATACATCCTAAAAATAGAATAGAAAAGAAAAGTGGCTTCGGTTGTTTGGAAATCTCAGTGGTGTTTTAAGAGGGAAATTAAAAATAATGTAGGCCATCAAAATGAATAATTCGGGAATGCTAATATTAAGGGACATGACCATGCAAGCATTCATACGAATGCAAAATAAGCTGATCAGCATTGGATATCAACAGCTATTAGGAGACAACAGTTTCACTTCATTAAATCCTGTTAGCATTACAGCTGTAACTCTGCAGTCAAGTGCATTTGACCCCAACATTTTGCATTTCCAGGGAAGCCTCATGCATTTCTCCAAGAACTGAGAATGACTCCGATCTCTAACGTACTGTAGGCTGGCGTGGATTCACGATTGGCACACCGTGATCAGGGGTTTCCAACAGCGTGGAAGCAGCGGGGGTTCTCCACAGGGCTGGGCCTGTGAGTGCGAGGCCGAGAAAGCAGAGGCACTTACCCAGGACCCCGACTCTGTAGTTGAGTGTGATGACAATGACGTTGCCATAGCTGGCCAGAACGCTCCCGTCAATCATGTTCCCGGTTCCCTCCATGTAGGAGCCTCCGTGGATGAAGACCATCACGGGTTTGGCGCCAGTGTCTCGGATGTCTGCAAGAGTGGCCACCGTTAACACACTCGCCGGCGGACGGTAAAACGCGCGCTCCACACAGCAACGCAACAGCGAGGCCAACAACTAGCCCTCTCAGATACCAGCAGCAGAGAGAAACACTTCCCTCTGTTCAGTTAATTCCCAGACTGGGTGTGCTTTCCCGATTTGCCTGGGCATTATCAGCCATGTAAAGGGGGGGGAAGACAACAAATGTGATCAGAAATGAAAAACTCTTGTCATCTATTCTGCGCTCTCTACTTCTGTGCATCAAGGAGAGGTACTTCTGCAATTCGAGTCCTTTGCCCAAACTATGAAAATATTTCACTCTTTGAGGGGATGGTGAAAAGCAGGATCAGATCAGAGTTTTTGTGTTATACATTTTTGACGTATTTGTTTAAAGAAGTGTAGCCTTGTGGCAATGATTTCTATGAAAATGTATTTAGAAAATTGTTTCACATTGAGCACAATGTTTTTACTGTTGGGAAGCAGCAGAAGGCTGTATTTATTTCCATTTTTATGATGTTTTCTATGGGGAAAAAATTGTAATTAGTGGTGGAGAGCTTATACCTTCTGTCGTTTTGGTTGTATTTTTGATTGGTTTGTTGTTTTTTCATCAATTGGCTTAATAAAGAACAGTTTTAAAAGTCTCTGTCAGACAGCAAAAGTTTTCTGAAGGATACAAATGTGTAACACAGCCGATGTAATGTTCTGACAGAAATTCAGATGAATACTGGCTTTTCTGAACTTGAAACATACCTTTTGGCTCATACCCTCTACCAATCCATTTCGGGGTTTTTTTTTCCGGAAAGTAAGATGTACAGTAGAGTGTTCTTGCTCCCTGGGGTGCACATCAGTTTAACGAGATAAAGTTATTGAAAAAAAGAAAAACAAAACCAACTTGCTAGAGAAAAGGTTTCTGATCTGATATCCAGAGCCTGTGGTGAATACTAAGAGAAGGCTGTCTCTCTCTCTCAAGCTGTGCAGTGCAGCCTTGAGAGTGGGGAGATAGTTTCTGGGCTCAGATTCAAAACCTATATTGTATTCAGGTTGCCATAGAAACCAGCAACAAAAATTCAAAATCTGCAAGAGCAAACAGCTAATCGCAAACAACAGCCTGAGCAGTGAATCAGTTTCCATCTGTAAGCTGTGTCTCCATTTGTACAGGGACATGTCGATATGAGCCAGCGTTTAGGTCATGTATTCACAGTAGAAGTCTAAATATGTGTTAAAAAGATCTTGACTTAGAACTGGACTGGGTCCTGCATAATTACTAAGACGTATACTTAAAAAGTAGCAACATTTTCTAATCTGAACATATTGTCCTGAGAATGTTTATGCAGTCAAGCATCTTTGTAGAGAAACATGATAGGTTAGTGTCTTCTATGGAAGCCCCAAAATATTATATTTCTTAAGGGACAAAATATTTAGAAGCAAAATATGTATGGTTAATTAATTAATGGTTTACCATCTGGTTGCTTCAATTAAGAATTTAGCATACTGTAGGTATATAAAGATGTAGATATCGGGTTTTCTCTTCATCTGGTATCTGAGAGAGTTTTTCTTCAAAAAAGGACATTAGAGGATTCCAAACAGACATTTCTGCACAAACACTAGTCTCTCACACTAAGGCACAACACAAATTGGAACAGATGCATGGAGGAGACACAAAATGGAATAGCCACTACATGTTTCCTGTACCAAGCACTCTCAAGACAGGAAAACAAATGGATCCAAATGTAAAGGAAAAAAAAAGAGGAAAGAAACAGGAAAACAGATTAGGCATGTCACGATCAAGTTATCAGATGCCTCTTTTGTTGTTTCATATTGTGAGTTACTATAACAATTGTCTCTGCCGTTTTGGGAATTATTGAAATAGGGTGTGTATGGTCCTTCAAGACTTTCCCTCTAATCTTTTACTTTGGTCATAAATGGAATAGATAGTAAAACATACAATTCTGCTCATTGACGCCGTAGGCAAGGTGTACCTTCAAAGATCTAAGATTAATCCGCCATCCTGAGAATGCAAATAGATAAATTAAAGTACTAAGCATTTTGAAACATTTCAGAAAAAAAAAACACCTGGAAGATAACAGTGAGAAAGAGAGAAGAGAAGAGATTTTGAGATTAAATAAGGCAGTTTCTGTTTAGATTTGTGTTTTCACAGAGCTTCGGAGTTCTGAGAAAAAACATCACGAGGCACAAATGTGGTACAGAAAATGGATAAAAAAATATGCCACCGTCAACAACAAAAATAAACAAGAGCGTTCAAGTCAGGGAGTCTGTAGAGGAACATGAGTTGATGAGACTAGCAGACAGAGAACAGTCCATCCGTCTGGAGAACTTTGTGTCTACTCGACTAAAACAGGACCCTTTATTCCTTTTTTCCCTAACCCAGCTGAGATTTGTTTTTGCTACGTTTCAAATTTAAATGAGCATTATATGCCTGTGGTGACTCATGGACATAAACACACAAATACACACACATAGAGTCCATAGGGGTTTTTAAAGCTCCAACACATGTTACACACAACAAAAAAACAAGTCACATTCAGTTAACACCATGCCACGCTTTCTAATTTTCTTCCCTGAGCAAAGTAAAATAATTTGTTGGGTGGGCTGCACACTGTGACTCTATTTCCTGCTACCAGAGCACTGTCACTATACACTATATTGCTCTGGGGGGTAAATGGATTACATAGAAAAATGTGGAGGAGCAGAGTGCACACCAGTATTATGCATTTGAAAAAAAAAGTACCTACAGGGTAATAACACTGCTGGTATCAATGTTTGCTACCAGAGTTGAATGCCTAAAAACACAAGATTGACAGGGTCATTTCCACTCCAGTACACAGGAATAGACCAGTTCTAGAGTAATCAGACCCTAAATACAGTATATAAGAACTGCAGAAAGTGGGAAAAAATCAAAATCTCATGCACATACTGTACTCTTTTCTGAAGACCAACAAAAATTGAAACATTTAACATGGAGTATTGCAATATGCAATTTCACTAAGCCAAAGGTGCCTGATTGTCCTAGATGTTCAACAAAAGAACAATGCACGTATGATTGCCAACTGATTGTGCTCCTAAAAAGTAGGCTTCTATTAAGGATGCGATGCCATGAATTGAGAAGTCAATGCCTCATTAGGAACAGATTGAAATATTAAAAATTCAGAATGGGATTAACTATAACATTAATAACTGTTATGTACATGTACAGAACAGCTGATAGGAACAGAAAAGTGTGTTTTCATCCTGTCTTGATTCTAAAAACAATGGCATTTCTTTGGGTATATTTACATACAGTACATACACAAGTAATAAAATGCCCTTAGTAAGACAGAAAGGTTTCTCTTTAAAGTATAGTACAAAAGATGAAAACATTATGGAATCAAAATAAGCAAATAAGCACACAATAATTACTGAATGGAAGAAAATTGCATATTCATCACTATTTTGATATAATATTCTACTTCTAAATCTGTGGTTCCCAACTCTGGTCCAGGAGGAGCATTCTGTCTGTAGGTTTTCATTCCAGCTGAGCTCTACATCTCCAGTGCTGATTGATGGCTTCATTTATCTGCCTCCTTGTTAAGACCTTTGTTTAACTTGTTTTTTGGTCAATTCTGAGTATAGACCAAAAATGAGAAGTGGTAACAATACTGTATTGGGCATGCAGACTGTGAAAATGACACTGTATTGGGCATGCTCACAGTGGAAATGACACTGTTTCAGACAAGCTCACTGTGGTAGTGGCACTGGACATGCTGACAATGAGTTATTTTTCCTTCTGCAGAGGCCCAGTTGGTTACATTTCAGTATACACACATGAATGAGGGAAGTTCTCAAACTCAAGACACTGATACAGGGTTGAGACTAATTTCAAATCCTATTTGACCTTTCAAGAGCTGGAAACATTTGCACAGATGTACCCTAAACAGAAACCAATCCAATCAATTAAGTCTGTGATCAAAAACGAGAAGAGACTGAGTTCCTGCTGTAGAAGCTTAAAGTACTGTAGGTTACAATGACTATAGATCCCTCCATGATTATGTTCTACTGGAATAAAAGCGCAGGTTCTTACTCTCTTTCATTCTACTTCTTAAGCCTGACTGATTGCTGCTGTATATTACCTGACATTAATATTTTTCCGCTTTAGAATTACGTACATCTGTAATAAAAGAAAAGCATTACTGTCTCAACAATGAAACATTAATGAATGTCCTTATTTGGCAGTGGGCATGCAAGGCACTGTCATTCTCCATTGATCTTGCACAGTGTTTCTATTTCCTAAGAAATAATTTGAATATGCAGCTAAGGACCAGAGATGGAGATGTCTTCTTTATGTCATTTCATCTACAAAAATGACTTGTAATACATAGCTGTCAGTGCTGATTAGAATCACGGTTATATTGAAAGATATGAGCAAGTGCTCAAAAAGTTAAAGAGTATTAAACTGGTGAATGAGAGATGGTTAAGTTTAATGTCCTCATTCAAATGATTAAACCAGATACACAGTATAAAAGCAAACTTTAGAACTTATCATGCTTTTACTAAAGCAAAACATAAAAATAGCCATAAGTAAAAAAAATATAATTTTGAGAAATCAGAGAAGAATGTCTACTGATATTTGGGTCAGATCAGTCATCCAGACGATGATTACAGTTTTCAGGAAGGGTCCTTTTGTTGTACTGTGCCAGCAAATAGAATGACCAGTGGAATGGGGAACACAAAGCACAGGGAAGGTAGCAGGATTGTAATACTACAGAAGCACAAACTGTTCTTTATTGTACACTTTATTGTACAGCCAGTCTCAATTACACTTGTGGATGCAGATTGGCTTACTGTATGTGGCTATTACTGACAATTGTTTTCAATGGAATTCTAAACACATAAGCACTGAAAAAATAAAACGAGTGTGGACCATTTTCAAGATGCTGCAACTTAGCACCTGAGCATTAAAAAGGAAGAAATCTCCACATAAACAAAAAGGGCTTATTTTCTACAGTCCTGTTCTTGTGCTTGTTATGATTTTTGGTAGCGCAGTCTTGTGTCTTTATTACTACAGTATTGATTTCAGTGAAACATTGTAGCCTTTGAACAAGGTGACTTTCTACATGTGCCATCGTGTTCGTGCACGAGATATGCCGGTGAAAATGGTCTGGACAGGTGCTCTGAAATTCACTTTGCGGAGCTGCACTCTCAGAGACAGAGAATCCTGTGCAGGGAGCGCAGAAAAGCAAGTTTCTCTCTGCGAGGTCTATAAGGAAATATACTCTGAACTCTTACACTGTGCTAGATTGGTTAGCTACACAGCCATTTTGTACCTGCACTGTAATCTTGTACACCACTGATCTTCAACACCTTCATATTTCTGATTTACTGTCAGTGCATGGCACCAGGGTGCACATGGTTAATACCCACAGTGTACCAATACTGGTGTCAAGTATTTTTTTTTACTACTGCATAAGCAGGCAGTGAGCATAAAATGAGGTAGGCAAAAGAGCTTTAGCAACACAACTATGAGACTGCTTGTGTGGGCAATAAAGAATCCACATTCTATGGTTTAAGCTACAGGTACTCCAATATATCCTTAAAAGGCCAGTTAGGCAATTACATCTACGTAAATAAAAAGCATGCAGAGCCCATGCCTCAGTGTGCAAACACTTCTGCAGTCTTTGCTGCTTCAGGTTCAAGGATTTTCGATGTTAGACTACAACCTTCTTGTGAGCCTGTTTAAACTGTAGGGATGCAAGACGTCACTGTGCAGCTTGACGTAGTTTTGAAATAACTTTATTATGGAGGATTCCTGGTGAGTTCAGCATGGATTTGTGTCTCCTCAGAGCCTAATTCTACACTCTACAGTACTTCCATGAGTTACTGTTTTTATATTAACTGCAAGCAAAACAACAAGCCAACATCCTTTGGCTTCGCCACAGAAAAAACAGAATGTGTAGGAGTAGTGTAGCACACCAAAATTAAAAACTACACATAATGGAAATGCAGACATCTGGTCCCCTAAATAAGGATCCCAGAGCTACAACAGGTGGATTACGTTTTAAATGGAGAAAAAACAACAACAAATGAATTATAACTAAACTCTACAGAATACTACAGTCTATAAAGTGCGGGGCTTGGTAGTGTGGTCTGAAATCCAAGCAAGAAAGGGAAATTACAACCTTAAGCTAAGAGGGGTCAGAATATCTGAAACTGTAAGAAATGAATGTGTGATTTGTGTGGTCTGGAGGCAATGGGATTTCTGCATCGCAAAAGAAATTGAGGATCCATGAGGCAAGAGACAGACAGGCTAATGCATCTGTCAAGACTTGGAGAGCTCATTGCAGCAGACAAGTCGGGTAGCATGCCTTTCTTCCCCCAGGCTGTACATAATACAGTACATCCAGACTGCAGTTCCATTTCGAGGTTCATTCTTGAATTCTACTCAGATATAGGCTCCATAGTTGGGGAAAGCATGGCCTACACCCAGCACTGAATTTCTCTCCAGTGCAGTGAGTTAAAGTGTGAACTCTCAGGTCCATGCAGGTTTGGTGATCTGAGCACCTGGCTTATTAAGTCAGCCTGGACAAGCAACAGCTGAAATACGTCTGCTATCATGATCACCAGATGATGAACTGCCACCAAAGATGGAATGGTAACACACGGAGGTGCTTTTCACAAAGGAACACTCTAATAATGTGTAACATACCACATGAATGGTCGCATGAAAATAAGCAAACTGCAGAACAGTTAATGGGTCAGTCTTGAGAACTTCCAGACCTGGGCACAGGCTTAGAAGCTGCATGAATTTCTAAAACTATGAGCACATGTATAGGCATTAATGTGTGATGCCTAAATACATATTCTGATGGTATATGATATTCTCAGACATTTGCACTTTTAAAAACTGCAATCATCTGTTGAATTTAAAGATTTACACACAAGAACAAAGAACTATAGATTTCTTGTAACAGATCCACTGTACTTGGCTCCTTCAGTCGTGTACACAAATACCCCCTCAGAGTCAATGAGGCTGCAGGCTACACAAATGATGTCCCAGCGCACATTTTTAAAGTCCTGGACTGCCATTTTCTGTGGGGGGCAGCAAATCATTCTTTTTAATAGATGTTTTTTCTTGTTTGACAAACTACAACTAATTAAAAACAAACAAGAAACGGGGGTGAGAAGCACACGGGTCACACTGTTTCCGTGCGGACGATTAAAAAGGGAATAATATGGAGATGTTATGTTGAAGATATAGATGCATGGATATGTAAGACTGAAAAGGCTCTTCCACAGCATCAGCTGTCACTAAGCTTGCCGACGTGTCCTTAGGTATGTAGTGCGCCTTCGCAGGTGATCGACTGCTGCCCCACAGAGAGAATGACCTGTAGTGAGACTGACAGCCCGACTGGCTCCACTGAGCACAAATCTGCTCACTCACTGTCTCCTTCTGCAGCATGCAGAAACCTTGCTCGCCACGTGCGACGTCACAATGCCACCAGCTTTCTGGATAAGCTATGATATATTGTGTGCGATCAATATTCTGCGGGCTTTCATCGAAAATGAAAATAAACTGACCGCACAGCTTAAGGTTCCGGAGACTTTATTATTTCCTGCTGGAGTCCCAAGGAGAGCTGATCTTGACTCACTTACCGGTACAGGAGGCAGTCGGGATGTTACAGCAGTGTCTCAATTATTTTGTAAAACACAACTGCACATTCCTGATGAACTTCAAGTTGCACAGAGTGCTTAGAGACTGCTCATCGATCCTCTCCATATTCATGTTTCCTCATAGGTACTGCATGAGTGGAGCCATTTTTATCTGATAAGATTTTGACGCTTGTAGTTCTCCAATTGGATATATATATATAATGCCAGACAGAAAACCCCAAAGGCAAAAACACATTTCATATTTTAATTGTCTTCCAGCATACAATGTCTGTTATTCTGATAATGGACTTTAATGATCTGACTATTAGGGAATGAGAGGACAACACAGTCGTTAGGTGATCAGAGTTACTTAAACAGCCGCAGGGCAATTGAACAGATCACCCTTCAAGCAAACAAGAAATATGTCAATATTCCATCTTCATATCAAGTCTAAATTACAATGGTAACCCTTGACAAATGGAAATTTTCCTTTAAAAAAAGAAAAAAACAGCATTCGGCATTGTTTTTCCTCTTTCATTTATAATAGGAAAAAAGTGCAAGGAAGCGTGCATTTCAATATTCTTTAAAGAAATAATAGCATACAGTATACTGGATACAGTGTTTGTTAAAAAGGTTTTTCATTAAAACCAAAATTCAATGTTTCATGCATCGGCTTGGAGCACCAGAAAAATACCTTCATCTTCATCACCGTCATTATCGGACAAATCCTCGCCCTGTTTCTTGGCGTGGGTCCCTGAGGTCGGACACAAAGGGAGAGAGAGAAAACAAGAACACAAGAAAATTCAAAATAGCATGATTGACAGGACAGCGGGAAGAAAGAGAGGAAAAGCATTCATCCTAAAAACATTTCCCAGGTAACGCTTGAGGAAAGAAATCACAGCAGGCTCTGCGCAAACACTCTCAGAGTTTACTCCAAAGCTGAAGGTGAAACTCTCCCCATCGCCGCTTTTTCAACTCTGTCACACAAACACGTGTTTCAGGTTTAACAGTCCCTGTAATAACAAAAACGAACTACACCACAGACTGACACTGACAAGGACATCAAACAAACCTTTCACTCATTTTTATGCCTTTTTGTGTGTTTAAACAATTTTAATCAACTAACAAAACAAACTGACAGCAAAGTACTAGAAGTGATACGAATCTCCACAGAAAAGCCTGTGTTCTTAACATGACTCACTGGATTTAGTGAAATCCACACAAATCTGTGAGACACACATCCTGTATTAGGGCCAGGCAAACAACAAACTAATTTAACCCCCCCCAGTTTTTTCTTTGGCAATTTCTTTATTTTTTTCACCAGAGTATTACAGCAGGTATAAAAAAGAAGAAATATCTGGAACGATTCATTCCACAGTGATATCAGATGAGCAGACAGATTGGTTCACTTGAACAGGAGGAAGAGGATTCTGGGGCTGACAAGGTTATCTTGTGCACGGAAAGCACACTGAGTTGAAAAACAGACATAGAGGAATTATAGATTGTGTCATCCTTTTGGTCAAACCTGAAATCCAGCACACAAAGAGAGAAAATGTTTAAAGTCTCCTGTGTGAATGGGATCTACCATCATTAAGAACTGATTTTCCTATTCCTCAGTAACTAGATCTCCAGCAAGCTTCCTTCTTAACATTCAGAGGTCTCAGAGATATTGAGCAATAAATACCTTTCTTTGAATGACAGGACCAAATTAAATTGAAATCTCTAAAAGCAAAGACTTTCATCTCACTGCTGTCTAGACTGTACAAGAGGAAGTGGGAAATATGGTACATACTGAATACAAACATTTAAATTGTTTTGACAATACTATGCACTCGTTCAAACTGCTTTGTTTCCTATTTGAAGGCCTGCTGTGCCGCTTGTACGAAATCGCTGCCAAGTGACATTTATAGCATTTGACAATAATGTTTGATCACATTCTCATGAATTCCATCTCCAGCACCACGGTAAGTGTATTGCTTTATGATAACCACACAACACTGACCACTGAAAAAGCCAAGACAATAAAAGCTATTGCTTTATACAACAAAATTCAATAGCAACGCCCGCACTTTCATATAAAAATTGATGAGTACTATGGTCATCGCCAGGCAGGCTTTTACCAAGCTTCGATAAACACCTTCCTAATCTTCACAAGGCAGTCCTGGGTAAAGGAAAATACCAATTCGCCGATTCGTTATGTTGATGACCGCAAAATAAATCTCATCAGCTCACCATCAGCAGTGCATGAGCTAGCAATCAGTGAACGGAGTAGTGGGAACTTAGCACCACAAATAAGACACTTCAATGCAGCCTTCATTAAACATGTTTAATACCGGAATGGAAATGAACTGAGGGCGGTTGCTGTTTTTCTTATTTTGCAGCAACTGTACCATTTTAAAGAAAAGATACTGGACCGATGTCACCGATGTTTACTTAAAAACAAAGTCCAGTAAGGGGCATGTGATGGGAGTAGACAACCCCAGAAAAAAAACAAGTACCAGACAAACAGGAACCGACGTTTAGAAAAGAAGCTCGGATCCCTGATTTGCTTGTGTGATAAACAGCACGCGCAGTGGATGCTGAGAAGAAGGCTGTCCCTCGACGTAGCTAACTGCTTGAAAAGAGAAGTGCACGGGAATTTGTTTGCCTGTTGACTTCTGGAGAGATGCTCTGTCTGTCACTTCACACTGGTTTCTCCCTTAGGTCTATATCACCCTGTGACGTTTTAATTAAATTGCTCACATGAATTCACTGATCACTGCCGTTCTTCAAGAGTAATAGTCCATGGCAGTCTCAAATAATATGAAAACCATAAATGAAATCGCTTTACAGAACACAAAAAGAATAGACCGACGCAGGGGTGGTGCCTGGATTTTGGCAGAGGTCCTTTTTGTTCTTCATGAACACGTTCTACACCCAACATCCTTTTTTTTTTGTGAGTGAGAGCTCCTTTTGTCTCTGTCTCCCAGGAAATAATCAAACAAAATGGCCTCCTTCCCCAAATCGATTCAGCAGGGAAGATAAAAAGAGCGACGTTTTGTAAGCAGAAACTACAATCAAGCTGAAAACCATTTAAATTTGTAAAAACAGGCAGCGTGAAAGCTAAGCTGCTGCAGAGCAATCCTCGAGTGCCTTTTGAGACTTGTTCTCAGGCGTTCGTGGGTGGCTCCTGACTCCTACCTTTCAATAAGCAGTGTTTTGTTGTTGGCCCCTGCTGCTTTTTTCTCATTTGACCCATCGACTGCTCTCGGTGAGAAAAATGACACCTCACATAAATCTCTCCCTCCCGCTGACCTCTGTGAGCGCTTCTGCCAGGAGGAGAGGGCACTAGCAGAGCAGAGAGCAGAGGCAGGGGGAAGAGAAATCCATCTCGCTGGTACCCCAAAGCAGGGCTGGGCTCAGAGAGCAGAGAAACACACAGACTGAGAAATTAACCTCCTCACCCCCCCCCCCCCCCCAACCCGAGAAGCAGCTAGAAATAACACCTCACATACCACTTTGATGAAAGGTGTAGTCTATTAAGGTCAGAGTGCATGGAGTGTGGAAGATAAAAAGATACGAACTGGGTATAGGGGAGGACAAAGTTCACCAAGAACTTCAACCCACAGCATTTTAGAGGACAGGCATCATTTGACCTGCCCACAAAGCATCGGGCACTGGGACTAGTATAGCAAGTTTCTGTGCTGATATAGACTTCTAACTAAAAGCTTCCATAGAAAAAGCAATCTACCTTCAAGATCAATTTGTGCGAAGTTATAAAACAGCGAGGCAGAGTGATGGTTGAGTGTAAAATCTGGGGGAAGTCTATATCTTCAGCCTTGCAAAGTTTTACAGACCTCTTTTTCCAGAATACCATCCAAGCCGGTGCATTAAATTCCCACTGTGCTTGTTCCATGGAGATTAACATAACAGCTGAGAGAGGATGAATTTGAAAGGATGACAGAAAAATATCAGAAGGAAAGGTTAAGGAGACTGTAATCCTCTGGTATAGGACAGCCAAGACTCCCATAGGGCACCAGCTCCCCTAACACTGATGCCCCACAGCCAGGTTGTCTTCTAAAAGGAAGAAAGGCCACATCTCCTTAAGTTGTTCATGGATGCAACTGTGAGAACAGGCACTCAGCCACCATTTTGTCGGTTCATCAAAAGCCCCAGTGCACAAGAAAGAGGGATTTAAAAAAACACTGTGGATCTTGGCAATCCTACGCAAATAAAAGATAATGAATCACAAGTGAATAATCCTTTCTTCTCAAAGGACTACCTTCATCTTCTCACTGGAGCACAGATTGCACCGCTTCAGGAGGTGGGAACGAGTGCCCTAATTAGTAATTACCTTGAGATCTCCCTGGTAGCTGAGATTAAGAAACCCCTGAGAGGGAGAAAAAAATCTTTTTTTAGGGAAATAAAGGGCCTGAATGTCAAAGATGGAATTCTGGAAAAACAAACAAAACCGAGGAATCAAGGAGAGCAAGGAGAGTGATCCTTGGGGATTCAAATAGGCACTTATAACCCAGTTATAATTTATGCAAATACAATGAAAATGGAATTTTGATTTTCCTGATAAAATGGAATTGAAACCAGTATGGACTGGGCCGATAAAAAAGAACTGCTCTCTTGAACATCAGCTGGTGGAAACTGACAGGTTAGACCGTTCACTGTGGTCTCGCTGTACTAGCAGTACTTGTCATCATAAACCTTACTCATCCTCCACAACACTAAAGTACTTCTCAGAGCAAAGCAGACCAACAGCATGACATGCTATGGTCTTTTGGCTCACCTGGAGTGATGAGTATAAATTTAATCCAATTTAAGGTCAGTTAACAAGTCTAACAGTATTGAGGAGTGAGGCTGTTTATCTGTAATTTATAGGAATTTGTAGGAAGTGTTGTCTTGTGGTCTGTCGTTTAATCCAGGTTACCACAGTCACATGCAGCTGAGCTCCTAATGCGTCACTTGGGCATCACATGATTGCAGTGGCCATGTCCCATTTAGCCATTTCGGATGGGTCAAAAGCAGGAGGCTTTGCAGTTGCGCCGGAGAGTAGATGTTTATTCTGGTCTGCAATTTCATCCTTCACATCCCTCCATGTCCTAAAGCACTTACAGTACATTCACTGCTGGTTCTGGAGATCTGCTCTGCTTTCTGGTTTATTGGTTACCACCCAGGACTTTTTATTTAAATGAATTGTTCACTCAACTAGTGTGTATTCCACCTGTTTCTGGTTTCCTGTTTTATAATATAATTGCCTTGAAGGGTTGGGCACATGTCTGGATGGGTCCAAAAGACCAAGAGATGAGCTGGAAGAGTTGTTAAAATCTTACAGTTGGTTTTTGGAGTACATCAGGGCTGTTGTTCATACAGATGACCGCACTGTACATAGTTTTGTCACAGTGAATGGACAGAGAAATGATATTGGACAGCACCATGGTTCAGGTGACAGTATGCATTGTGAAATTGAATGTGACATCCATGCATTTAGAGCAACTGTTAGCAGACAGTTCTGCGATACTTAGAACTTGAAAAGTTCAGTGCCATATGTGAGGTGTGGGGTAATTTTGCATTGGTACTTCGGCTGAATTAATGGCTGCAGCTCTTTTGTGAAGATGATTACAAAAGCTCAAGATACCGACGAGTATCACACTTACAGTAGGTAAGCTGAGTTTGGGTAATATTGTAGTCGATCCCCTCAGGAGGTAACATTAAGGTGAACTTGTGTTTTGCAGTGATTGAGGTGGACTGCTGAGAAGACAGATT